GAGGCCAAAGGGAAAGCTCATAAGATGAGTGGATATGATCATTCACAAAAATTGGTAGGGCTTTGCAGCTGAAATTGTTGGCTCCATGCACTTATATGATTTCCCAAATTTTTAGAAGCATAATCGCGTCTCCGTCACTAAGATGTAAGGGAAATCTTGAAGATGAAGAAATGGAAACAGAGCATAGATTAAAAGCCTTTTCTTTGTAATTAACATGAATTAATTCTTAGGTCGTGGACTAACAACTTGTGTTGCCTTTTATCAGAAATGGAAAACGGATAATTTGCCAAACTGTTGGATGATAATAATCTTAAGGGCTCGAATTATACTGACTGGTTCCGTAAACTTATACTGGTTCTGATGTCCGAAAAATTGGACAAGGTTCTAAAAACCCTACTCCGRAACGTCAGAGTGATACGACTTCTGAAGCTCGTAGTTGGGAATATCAAGAATGGGAGGAGAAGAACTCCCTTACCCGTTGTTATATCATAGCCTCCTTAGAAAATCTGATTTAGAGACAATTCGATAAGATCGAAGTGTCCAAGTATATCATGGATAGTCTAAGGACAATGTATGAAGAGCATGGAGGATCTGTGGCTCATCATCCCAAGCTAGGGCTTCTCGGGCCAGGGCAAGTGCCGCAATGGTCGACACCTATGAAGTGGTGACTAGCTCGACAATTTCAGGGGTTAGTGAGCTAAAGGTATACTTGACAGCAAAATCTTCAAGCACCTGCGCCTTGATTGCTAGTCGCGGCTCAAACCGGATGTCATATTCATTGAATTCGATTGCCCACTTCGTGAGTCTCCCTAAGACTTTGGGCTTCTATAGGATTTGCCTCAGAGGTTGGTGGGTCATGACCATGATAGTGTGGGCTTGAAAGTAAGGTCTTAGATTTCAGGCTGCTAACATTAAAGAGAAAGCGAATTTTTTAATGTCCGGGTACTTAGTCTCAGCAGTGTGCAGGGTTTTACTTACATAATACACTAGTCATTGTACCTTTTCTACTTCCCTAATAAGGATCGAGCTGGCTACCTCGTCACTCGTAGAGAGGTAGAGCTTGAGCTTGTCCCCGGGCACGTGTTTGGTCAACAAAGGTGGAGAACTTAAATACCTTTTTAGCTCATCAAAGGCGAGTTGGAACTTAGACATGAATCGATTCAGGGCGACTATTCGGCTAGTTAATTTTTGTACTTATTTTACTGTCTTGGGAGGTCACATATCTAAAATTGCCTAAATTTTTCTAGGTTGGATTCGATGCCACGTCGGCTAACTATATATTCGAGGAACTTGCCTGATGTAACACTGAAGACACACTTGTTCGGGTTGAGTTTCATGTTATACTTTCTTAAAACGTTGAAAACACAGTCTAGGTCGGCGATTAAAGAGTTAGAAAACTTAATTTTTACAACCATGTCGTCCATATAACATTCCACATTATTGCCAATTAGATTTGAGAAAACATTGTTTAGAAAGCGTTGAAAGGTCGTTCCAACGTTTTTCAAACCAAAGGGCATGACTTTATAGCAGTACAACCCCATTTCAATTACAAGAGGTTTTTCCTTCATTAGTTGGGTCCATTGAAATCTGGTTGTAGTCAGAGTATGCATCCATGAAACTCAACAGCTCAAACCCTGAGGTCGCATCTACCAAGCGGTCGACGCACATGCATCACTTGCCATTGGCTTTCTTTACGAGTACTGTATTTGCAATCTAGCTCAGATATTGGACCTCTCTAATGAAGTTTTCTATAAGTAGCTCACCTACCTCCTCGTCTACTATCTTTCCATCTTTCCAGGGTGAGGTTCCTTTTCCTCTGCCAGATTGGTCTAACTAAGGGTTCAACATTTAACTTATGAGTTATTATCTTAGGGTCTATGTCRGGAATTTCTATGGCCGACCATGCAAAAACATCTAAATTATTAAGTAAGAAACTTACCAAATTGGAGCACACAGGTTCAGTCAGGCGAGCTTCTATGGCATCAAAGGTTAAGGCATCCTTCTTATAGAATTGTTAAGTTGCTGCCTTTTATTAGCACTAAGAATAATAATGATGACAATATTAAGGGTTGTGATGCATGCTTCTGAGCTAAACAATGTCGAGAAGAATTTGTTTCTAGTAATAATAAAGCATCCGATATTTTTGAGTTAATTCATTGTGATTTATGGGGCTCGTATAGAACTGTAGCCTCTTGTGGTGCTCATTATTTCTTGACCATAGTAGACAATTTTTCTAGAGGTGTTTGAATCTATCTTCTGGTTGATAAGACGGAAGTGGGACTTGTTCTTCAAAATTTTGTTGCTATGGTTCAAATGCAATTTAACAAACCTGTAAAGGTGATCCGTACTCATAATGGGAGTGAGTTTGTCTGCTTGGGTAGTTATTTTACTGAAAGTGGTATTATTCATCAAACCACTTGTGTCGGGACCTCTCAACAAAACGGGAGGGTTGAACGTAAGCACCGCCACATACTCAATGTTGCCCGAGCCTTGCGCTTTCAAGCTAGCTTGCCTATTGATTTTTGGGGGGAATGTGTCTTGACCGCATGTTATTTGATCAATCGGACACCATCCATTCTGTTGAAAGGAAAAACTCCCTATGAAATGCTATTTGGGTGACCTCCTTCTTATGATAATGTGCGAGTTTTGGTTGCTTAGCATATGCGCAGAATCATGGACACGGAGGGGATAAATTTGTCAGATTAACTGGCGAACCCAGAAACCGTGGAGCATTCCCAATCCAGCTGTTAGGTATCCTTTTGGAAAGAAAGGATGGAGCTTGTATGACTTAGAGTCTGACAAGTTCTTTGCATCAAGAGATGTTACTTTTTTAGAGCATGAATTCTCGTCTGCACACAAGGAGGATGCACAGCCGAACAAAACTCAACGTCAATTTAATTATGGAATAGGTGGGACAGATGAGGTGTTGGTACCATCCACTTGTTTACCTGGACTAGCAAATGGTGAGATGGAGACTACCCAGTGAGGTGAACTCGCTGAAGAAGGAGTCCGTGTAGAAGAAGGAACCCACGTAGACCCAAATGCAAATGCTGGTGAACCCATGCATTCTTGTGA